GGATCTTAAGTCATTAACTTAAATTCAAACGCAGGCTCCAGGAGGACGCAGCGAGTGGGCTCCAGCACCTGCGTTAGCGATTCAGAGATCTCCTTGGAACCTGTGGACATGAAAACCTGTTGCTGAAACGTTGTGCTGCCATTTGGGGCTAATTCGAATAAGCTGTCAGCTGATGGGGGCATCAATAGATGCTCTGTTTGGTCCCTTAAAGGCTTTTTCATTCAACCCGTGATGAATAAGCCAGTTGTTAAGAAGTCCGGCCCAGCTGAATATATTTCTCTTAGGTGACTGACAAATATTTGCTGGTGGCAGGGTCCTCGTTATTCCAAGGTACCGTGTTTCTTTGCTGTGCTGTGCGCTGTGAGTCTCCTGCATCGGACATGTGGTTGTAAATGAAGGAGTCTCCTGTGGATTCAAGGGTTCAGTCTTTTTGAGATGGAGTCTCACTCTGTCGCCAGGCTGCAGTGCAGTGGCGCAATGTCAGCTCACTGCAACCTCTGCCTTCTAGGTTCGAGCAATTCTCCTGCCTCAGCCTCCCGAGTAGCTGGGACTACAGGCACGTGCCACCACGCCCAGCTAATTTTTTAATTTTTAGTAAAGACAGGGTTTCACAATGTTAGCAAGGATGGTCTCAATCTCTTCACCTCGTGATCTACCCGCCTCGGTCTCCCAAAGTGCTGGCATCACCGGCATGAGCCACCACACCAGGTCCAAGGGCTCAGTCTTGAAGCATAGAATTACTTAGTAACTGCTTGATATTTTACTCAGGATCCGTGGAGGGCCTGTTATCCTATCCAAACTCATACCACTAATCTTCCTCCTACCCAGCTTTTCAACCCGGAATCCCCTTCAATTTAGGAACTATAATCAGCCAGGCACAGTGGTTCACACCTGTAATCCCAGCACTTTGAGAGGCCGAGGCAGGCGGATCACTTGAGGTCAAGAGTTCCAGACCAGCCTGGGCACATGAACCCCTGTTTCTACAAAAAAATAATAAAAATTAGCCAGGTGTGGTGTGGCAGGTGCCCGTAATCTCAGCTACTTGGGAGGCTGAGGTGGGAGGATCACTTAAGCCTGGAAGTCAGAGGTTGCAGTGAGCTGAGATCGCACCACTGCACTCTAGCCTGGGTGACAGAGGGAGACTCTGTCTCCAACATCAACAACAGAAAGAATGATAATCATTGCTCATTGCGTGTATCAGGTGTTCAGCTGTTAACAAATGGGTGAAGTGGGCCCAGCACAGGGAGAGGCAAAATGACACTAAGCTCTCGGTGTCAGGGATACAGGGACTGGGGGAAACTCGAGAATGTGTGTTCTAAGCAACCACTACTCAGGTTTTTTATTTTTTATTTTAACTTTTGCTCTGTCACCCAGGCTGGAGTGCAAAGGTACAATCACAGCTCAGTGCAGCCTCAACCTCCTGGGCTCAAGCGATCCTCCTGCCTCAGCCTCTTGAGTAGCTGAGACTAAAGGTGTGCACTACCATGTCCAGTGAATTTTTTATTTTTATTTCTTGTAGAGACAAAGTCTCACTATGTTGCCCAGGCTGGCCTTGAACTCCTGGTCTCAAGAGATTCTCCCTCCTCAGCCTCTCAAAGGGCTGAGATTATAGGTGTGAACCACCATGCCTGGCCAGAAATCCATCTTTTTACAGGAAGCTTTACAAATTTTGATGGATGAGAATATTTATAATAAAAGGCAAGTAGGATAAATATTATTGGTAGAGCCTAGGTGCTGGTGGATACACAGGTATTCACTGCCAATTCTTTCAGCCTTATATGCTGGAAAACGTTCATGGGGAAATGCTGAACAAAAACCACCGAAGGCTTATCAAACGATACCGATGGGGCAGATGGAGCTGCGGATGGCCAGCCGGACTCTGTGGTCTCCAACAGAAAGCTTCAGCTTCACTGTCCACCTTCAATGTGTCTGGGACCTCTCCTCTGCCCCACCCCAAACCCCTGATCCATTCGTTGGTCCCACACCCTTTCCTATACGTTATTAGTAAAGCTGGGCTTGCCAAGGTCCACCCGACACCTATTTTTGTCCACACCTATGATGGGTATAGATCAACTCTCCTTCAGCCCCATCCCCCAAACACCAAGTGTCAACCTGCAAACACCCTCCAGAAAGCCTCCCTCAACCAGTGCAGTCCATTCTCTCTTTTTTTTTTTTTTTTTTGAGACAGTTTCGCTCTTGTTGCCCAGGCTGGAGTGCAATGGCGGGATCTCGGCTCACCGCAACCTCCGCCTCCTGGGTTCAAGTGATTCTCCTGCCTCCCAAGTAGCTGGGATTACAGGCACGCACCACCACGCCCGGCTAATTTTGTAGTTTTAGTAGAGACAGGGTTTTATCATGTTGCTTAGGCTGGTCTCAAACTCCTGTCCTCAGGTGATCCGCCCACCTCGGCCTCCTGAAGTGCTGGGATTACAGGCATGAGCCACTGCACCCAGCCAGTCCTCTCTCTCTCTTGAAAGGCTCCCAGATCACAGTTCTGTGACTGAGCTCCAAGTCCCCAACTGCTTTATGGTGTTAGGTTTGTCTACCCAAAGAAGGCAACCAGCACTTCCTCGTTCACCGTCCATCACACCTAGCCCTGGGCACACACAGTTTTGACTCTTCCATGAAGCAGCTCATCAAAATGTACGTGGGGGGCTTAATGAGAGAAAACGCACACACACACACACACACACACACACACAGAAATACCAGGCCCCACCGAGACTTACTGAGAAATGGAACCTCAGAGCGAGGCAGGGAGATGGGGATGGGGAGAGAGCGTTCAGGCCTGTCGGATGTTTCTGAAGCTGGCCCAGTGATGCCAGCTGGCAGCAGGGCTGAGAGCCAGTCTCTGGGGCACAGTGTTGACTTAGTGATCCCTTGCTGAGCCCTATAGGACGTACAGAAGGCCCGGTCTTTACTTTTCAGAGCACTGGGTCTCCGGATACCTGGCTATGTCTAGAGGTGCTTTTGGTTTTCACCACCTTGGAGGTGGGGAAAATGCTACTGGCATCTAGAGGGTGGAGGTCGGGGATGCTGTTAAACATCCCACAATGTGGCCAGGCGGGGTGACTCAACGCTTGTAATCCCAGCACTTTAGGGTGCCTGTAATCCCAGCCACTCAAGAGGCTGCGGCAGGAGAATCACTTGAACCTGGGAGGCAGAGGTTGCAGTGAGGTGAGATCGTGCCACTACACTCCAGCCTGAGCATCAGAGCAAGACTCCATCTCAAAAAAAAAAAAAAAAAAGGCCAGGCACGGTGGCTCACGCCTGTAATTCCAGCACTTTGGGAGGCCGGGGCGGGCAGATCACGAGGTCAGGAGATCAGACCATTCTAGCTAACACGGTGAAACCCCGTTTCTACTAAAAATACAAAAAAATTAGCCAGGCATGGTGGTGGGCACCTGTAGTCCCAGCTACTCAGGAGGCTGAGGCAGGAGAAGGACGTGAACCCGGGAGGCGGAGCTTGCAGTGAGCCGGGATTGCGCCACTGCACTCCAGCCTGGGTGACAGAGCGAGACTCTGTCTCATAAAAAACGAACAAACAAACAAAAAACCCACAAAGCAAACCTCAGTCCCTCCCAAAGGAGGATGATCCAGGATCAAATGTCAACAGCAGCCAAGTCGAGAAACCTGCTCTGAACTGGCACAGTCCAACAGACCTTTTGGTAATGAAGGAAATGTTCTATAGCCCCTCTGTCCACTAAGGAAACTCACTGGCCGAACATGGCTCCTAAGCACTTGAAATGTGGCTACTGTAACTGAGGAATGAAGTTTTTATTTTAATTCATTAAATTTCAGCAGCTGAATGTAGCTAAGGGCTACAACACTGGACCTGATAATATTACTCTAGCAACACCTCCAACGTCTCCCTGGTCAGGTGGTGGCTCATGCCTGTAATCCCAGCATTTTGCGGGGCCAAGGCAGGAGGGACTGCTTGAGTCCAGGAGTTCAAGACCAGCCTGGGCAACATAGTGAAACCCTGTCTCTATAAAAAATACAAAAATTAACCAGGCGTGGTGCCACACGCCTATAGTCCCAGCTACTCCCAAGGTTCAGGTGGGAGGATTTTGGTTTTTTTTTTTGAGATGGAGTCATACTCTGTTGCCAGGCCGGAGTGCAGTGGCACAATCTCAGCTCACTGCAACCTCCACCTCCAGGTTTAAATGATTCTCCTGCCTCAGCCTCCTGAGTAGCTGGGACTACAGGTGCGCACCATCACGCCCAGCTAATGTTTGTATTTTTGGTAGAGACAGGGTTTCATCATGTTGGCCAGGATAGTCTCAATCTCTTGACCTTGTGATCTGTCCACCTTGGCCTCCCAAAGTGCCAGGATTACAGGTATGCACCACCACGCCCAGCCCAGGTGGGAGGACTGCTTAAACCTGAGAGGTCCAGGATGCAGTGAGCTGTAATCCAGCCACCGTGGTCCAGTCTGGGCAACAGAGCATGACCCTATTTAAAAAAAAAAAAAAAAAAGTCTTCCTGCAATGTGCCCTATAAAATCGGTGAGGACAACCAAGAAAGTCCATGGGAACATGAGTGACTCGCTTCTCAAAGCTTCACCCACCACGGATCCCCTGAGGTCAGGAGTTTGAAATCAGCCTAGCCAACATAAAACCCCATCTCTACTAAAAATACAAACAAAAATTTAGCTGGGCATGGTGGCAGGCGCCTATAATCCCAGCTACTCAGGAGGCTGAGGCAGGAGAATTACTTGAACCTGGGAGGTGGAGGTTGCAGTGAGCCGAGATCGCGCCACTGCACTCCAGCCTGGGCAACAAGAGTGAAACTGTCTCAAAAAAGAAAAAACAAAAAGCATCACCCACTAGAAGCACAAAGAGTTCAAAGATCACGTCTGCCCCATAGGCCCTTCCAGAGATGAGCATGGGCCTGGGGTCCGGAGTCCCTCATTGCAGGGTTCCTTCTTCCAGCCAAGCATGCCACGCCTGTCTTGGAAGCCTGTCTACACCTGAGCACACTTCCTCTCAGCCCCTCACCTTGATGGTTTCCAGCTCCATGCGAAGGCGGTTATTTTCGGACAGGAGGTCTCTGTTCCTGGTTTCAATTTGTTGCAGCTGCGTCTCCAATTCAGCTTCATATTCTCGGCTTCCCTCCTGGAATTCTCGGAGTTCCTCTTGCGTATTTTCTGCCCTACAGCAGAATTGTTAATTGTCACATAGTAATTTTTTTGAAGACAGAGTCTCGCTCTATTGCCCAGACCGGAGTGCAGTGCTGCAATCTCGTCTCATCGCAACCTCTGCTTCCCGGGTTCAAGCGATTCTCTTGCCTCAGCCTCTCGAGTAGCTGGAACCACAGGCGTGCACCACCACACCCAGCTAATTTTTCTATTTTTAGTAGTGACAGGGTTTCACCATGTTGGCCAGGCTGGTCTCGAACTCCTGACTGCAGGTGATCTGCCCGCCTTAGCCTCTCAAAGTGCTGGGATTACAAGTGTTAGCCACCACCGTGCCTGGCCAAATTCAAGGAACGTTTTTAAAATATCAAGCCTGAATTACCTTTAAGTCAAATTAGAATAAAGAAGGTAGGAGGGGCGGGGTACAATGGCTCATTAAGAATTACTTGAGGACAGGAGTTCGAGACCAGCCAGGGCAACATAGCAAGACCTCTTCTCTACAAAAATGTGTTTAAAAATCAGCCGGGCATGGTGGCACACACCTGTAGTGACAGCTACCTGGGAGGCTGAGGCAGGAGGATCACTTGCGGGCCCAGGGGTTGCAGTGAGATAGGGTCACACTTGTGAAGAGCCACTGCAGTTCAGCCTGGGTGACAGAGTGAGACCCTGACTCTGAAATAATTATTTATTTATTTGAGATGGAGTCTCGCTGTGTCACCCAGACTGGAATGCAGAGGTGCGATCACAGGTCACTGCAGCCTCGACCTCCCAGGCTCAAGCAATTCTCCCATCTCAGCCTCCCAAGTAGCTGAGACTCTAAGAACATGCCACCATGCCTGCTAATTTCTGTATTTTTTGTACAGACGGGGTTTTGCCATATTGCCAGGGCTGGTCTCAAACTCCTGAGCTCAAGTGATCTGCCTACCCAAAGTGCTGGGATTACAGATGTGAGCCACTGTGCCTGGACCTAAAATAATTCTGCAATAAATAAAGGAAACTAAAGGGATTGGAATAAGGTGTCTATGTGCAAATTATAAAGACCCATTAGAAATAAAAACAGTGCCAAACCAAACACAAAAACACACCTCCCAGATATGAGCACTGACCAAAACACAGTTTCAAATCTTAACATCTGCAGCAATATATTTTGCTAGGCATAGGGAAAAGCTCTTTCCCTGTGCACAAAGAACTTACCAGATGTGGTATCTAGGAACTGATAAAAACCCTTCTAGAAAATAAGATGGACACCAGGCACAGTGGCTCACGCCTGTAACCCCAGCACTTTGGGAGGCTAAGGCGGGTGGATCACCTGAGGTCGAGAGTTCAAGAGCAGCCTGCCCAACATGAAGAAACCCCGTCTCTACTAAAAATACAAAATTAGCTGGGTGTGGTGGCGTATGCCTGTAATCCCAGCTACTTGGGAGGCTGAGGCAGGAGAATCGATTGAAACCGGGAGGCGGAGTTTGTGAGCCGAGATCGCGCCACTGCACTCCAGCCTGGGCAAGAAGAGTGAAACTCCGTCTCAAAAAAAAAAAAGAAGATGGAAGGTCAGGCATGGTGGCTCATGCCTGTAATTCCAGAACTTTGGGAGGGTGAGACAGGCAGATCGCTTGAGGCCAGGAATTTGAGACCAGCCCGGCCAGCATGGCAAAACCCCGTCTCTACTAAAAACACAAAAAATTCGCCAGGCTTGGTGGCGGGCGCCTGTGATGCCAGCTACTTGGGAGGCTAAGGCACAAGAATTGCTTGAACCCAGGTGGTGGAGGCTGCAGTGAGCCAAGATGGTGCCACTGCACTCCAGCCTGGGCAACAGAGTGAGACTCTGTCTCAAAAAAAAACAAAAAAAGAAGAAAAAGAAAATAAGAAGACAAAATGGAAAGTAGCATAGTAGGATAATCAGGACCATAGGTCTGGAGTTCAAATTCCAGCTCTGCTACATATTGGCTGTGTGACTGTGGGCAAGTTATCTGCCTTCACTGAGGCTCAGTTTCTTCATCTATAAAATGGGGTGCTAATAGTTTTTTCATGGGTAGTTTTGAGATAGTATAAGTTAAGCCTTTCACACTGCCTGGCACATAATAGGACTGAAATAAAGGGTTGCTGTTCTTTTTATAGAAGAAAGAGAGCTCACACCTGTAATCCCAACACTGTGGGAGGCAGGGGTGCATCACTTGAGTCCAAGAGTTCAAGACCAGCCTGGGCAACATAGCGAGACCCCTGTTTCCACAAAAAGAAAAAAAAAGGCCTGGCCTGGTGAAGTACACCTATAGACCCAGCTACTTGGGAGGCTGAGGCGGGAGGATCACTTGAGCCCAGGAGTTTTAAGGCGGTTGTGCACTATGATCACGTCTAGGAATTGCCACCACATTCAGCCTAGGTAACACAACAGGACCCTATCTCAAAAAAAAAAAAAAAAAAGAAAAGCAGGTGAACTCAGACTGACCTCTGTTTGTAGGTCATTGCCAGATCTTTCCAATAGTTAGCTTCTTCCTCCTCGGAGCTGAAAGTCTTTCCGGAGTCCTCCATTGTGAAAATAGGGGAAGAGATCACTCTCTTTGTGGCATGGTGTCTAGGGGAGAAGGTTTTAAAATGATTACCCATATCTGGTTAAATAGGTAATCCCCTTTAACATAAAAAAAAAAAAAAACACTTTATGCTGGGTTAAATTATTAAATACTGCCAAAAATCTGAAGCTAAACCCAAACAAAAGACAATCCACTCACCTGTTATATGCCCTGGGTTAACATCAAGGCTCATGGACATCCCTACGTAAATATTTATTGAGCACCTACTAAAGGACCTAGGGAGCCATATAAAATGTCTCCAAGATGCCTGCCTTCCCTAAAGGGGCCTTACAGTCTGGTGAAGGGAGCGGGGGAGTGAGGGCTGGAATGGAAATTATGCATAAACAATAATAATTATTATAATTATTATTTGAGACAGAATCTTGCTCTATCACCCAGGCTGGAGTGCAGTGGCGTGATCTCAGCTCACTGCAGCCTCTGCCTCCTGGGTTCAAATGATTCTTGTGCCTCAGCCTCCTGAGCATCTGGGATTACAGGCATGCGCCACCACGCCTGGCTAATTTTTTTATTTTTAGTAGAGACGGGGTTTCGCCATGTTGGCCAGGCTGGTCTCAAACTCCTGACCTCAAGTGAACCACCCACCTCAGCCTCCCAAAGTGCTGGGATTACAGGCGTGAACCACCGCACCCAACCCCATGTAAATTTTGATAAAACTATGCGCCTAGTGTAGCCGCAGAAATGTGCACAGGATTTTGACATGCAATAAATTGCATATACTTGCATGTACACATTGGTGTGTTTTGAAATATGTATGCACCTGAAAAACCATCATCACAATCAAGATAATAAACATTTCTATCAGTGCCCAGGATATTTAAGAAGTTCCAAACTCAACCTGAGAGTCAAGGAAGGCTTCCTAGAAGTGGTGACACACGAGGAGCACGTGAAAGAATATGAAAGAGCCAGGTGCAGTGGCTCACGCCTGTAATCCCAGTACATTGAGAGGCTGAGGCAGGCAGATCATGAGGTCAGGAGTTCGAGACCAGCCTGGCCAATATGGTGAAACTCCGTCTCTACTAAAAAAAAATACAAAAATTAGCCAGGCATGGTGGTATACGCCTATAGTCCCAGCTACTCAGGAGGCTGAGGCAGGAGAATCGCTTGAACGTGGGAGGCGGAGGTTGCAGCTAACCAAGATCGTGCCACTGCACCTCCAGCCTGGGCGACAGAATGAGACTCCATCTGAAAAAAAAAAAAGAATATGAAAGAACTGGAAGGCAATGGTAATTGAGTAGGGGAGGAAGGAATGAGGAGAAACAGCCAGGCACTTGTTAGGGGAGCTGGGGGAGTCTGGCAGGCCTGGGTTGAAAGCTAAGGAGTGGAAGTGAACCTGGACAGACTGAAATAGAGGGGCTAAGTCACAGACGGCTTGTGCAAGATGTTAAGAAACTTAGTGGCCATCAGAAACCATTGGAGGAAGTTTAAGGAAGAGAGTGATGTGATATGAATGTGATATGATGGGCTCTCCTGCTTAAATAGCTGGTCCTGGTGGCCATGGACAGGCAGAGGAAGGACAAGGCCTAAGAAGGGGAGCTCCTGCAGCAATGCAAGAAAGGAAGGTGGAGACCAGGTGCAGTAGCTTGTGCCTGTAATCCCAGCACTTTGGCAGGCCAAGGCAGGCAGATCACTTGAGCCCAGGAGTTTGACATCAGGCTGGGTAACTTGGTGAAACCCCGTCTCTACTAAAAATAGAAAAATATCAGCTAGGTGTAGTGGCACACGCCTGTATTCCCAGCTACTCAGGAGGCTGAGATGGGAGGATCACCTGAGCCCAGAAGGCAGAGGTTGCAGTGAGCCAAGATACTGCCATTGCACTACAGCCTGGGTGATGAAGTGAGATCCTATTTTAAAAAAGAAAAGAGAAAGGAAGGTGGCCTGAATTAGAAAGTGAGAATAGGCCAGGTATACTGGCTCACACATACAATCCCAGCACTTTGGGAGGCCAAGGCAAGAGGACCGCTTGGGACCAGGAGTTCAAGACCAGACTGGGCAACATAGCAAGACCCTACCTTGACCAAAAAAAAAAAAAAAAACAAAAAAAAACTTTTTAATAACTTAGACTGGTGTGGTGCAACATATCTGTAGTCCTAGCTACTCCGGAGGCTGACGAAGGAGGATCATGTGAGTCCAGGAGTTTGAGACTGCAGTAAGCGATGATCACCGTACTGCACTCCAGCCTGGGCAAGAGAGAGACACCTTGTCTAAAAAAAAGAAAGTAGGAATGAAGATGGAGGGGACAGAAATGGACTCCAAAAATATCTAGAAGGCAAAATTACCAGAACTTGACGAATTATGACTTTTGGGGTAGGGGAGAGAGAAAAAGGAGGTGAGGACATCTTCTGGGGCTCTACCTTAGGCAATTGGGTGCCACCACCATCCCCATCACCAGAGATAAAGACTTCTAGAAGGTGGCTGGGTGCAGTACCTCATATCTGTAATCCCAGCACACTGGGAGGCCAAAGCAGCTGGAATGCTTGAGCCCAGGAGTTCCAGACCAGCCTGGGCAACCTGGTGAGACCCTATCTCTACAAAAACTAGCTGGGCATGGTGGTGTGTCTATAGTTCCAGCTACTCGAGAGGATTAGGGGCAAGGAGAGGTCGAGGCTGCAGTGACCCATGACCATGCCACTGTACTCCAGCCTCATATCTGTAATCCCAGCACACGGGAGGCCAAAGCAGCGCTGGCGAAATGCTTGAGCCCAGGATGTTCCAGTACCAGCCTGGGCACCTGGTGAGACCCTATTCTCTACAAAAACTAGCCTGGGCATGGTGGTGCTGTCTATAGTTCCAGCTACTCGGAGGATTAGGCGGCAAGGAGAAGGTCGAGGCCTGCAGTGACCCATGACCATGGCCACTGTACTCACAGCCTAGCGCCCAACAAGGAGCAATTTCCATCTCAAAAAAAAAAAAAGGACTATCAAAAGGAAACTGGCCAGGCCACGGTGGGCTCACGGCCTGTAATCCCAGCAATCTTTGGAGGCCCGAGGTGGGCCGCGATCACAGAGGGTCAGGGAGATCGAGACCATCCTGGCTAACACGGTGAAACCCCCGTCTCCTATTAAAAATACAAAAAATTATCAGGCGCGTGGGTGGCGGGGCCTGTTAGTACGCCAGCTACTCAGAAAGGGGCTGAGGCCAGGGAATGGAGTGACCTCAGGTAGAAGAGCTTGCAAGTGAGCCGAAGAATTGCGCACTGCCACTCCAGCCCCTGGGCGACACTGTGAGACTCTCATCTCAAAAAAAAAGGGAAAAGGACTCCTTGGCGTAGGTGGGTTGGGGGTTAGGGTGAGAGAGATAACAATCTTAGCTCTCAGATATTCAACAGCTTTGACCATGTCCATTAAACACCTACCAGCAATATTCGGGAGCTGAACTTCAGGGTTGAAAATTGGGTCAACATATCCTTTTAGAGTCCATGCCGTCCTGTAGCTGTTTTTTTTTTCCTTGCTGACAGATGAGAGGAATCCCCTACGGACTATTGTATGGAACAGCAGAAGAATGCCAATATTGGAAAGGTGGGCAATTTAAGAATGGATAACCGAAGGAGCCAGAGAGAAACAGGAGAGAGAGGAGAATTGAGGAGTGAGAGGAGAGAGAATCAGGAAGGTGTGGCTGTCCTGGAGTGGCGGTTTCAAGGGAAAAAAGGGAAACATTCCAGTGTCACAAGGATGCAACAGAGAAGCCAGGGAAGATAAGGGGCTGGCGAAATAGTATCCAGAGGCTGAAAGCCGAAAAGTCGGAAAAACAACATAGGCGGTAAAAGTAGATGACAAGAAGAAGTTATTCTACAACAGCTGAAGAGAGGAAAGAACGAACCTGAGGTGCGCAGGGAAGTAATGAGGTGAAGCAGAGGGAAAGGAGATGGTAATATCATGGAGACATTACCTATAAGAACAATGAGAACAAATATCCAACAGACTAGAGGATTAGTGGCTAGGATAAAGCGGGCCACTGTGCTCTCAGGACTTTGCGCTGATTCACAACCCAGAGGGAATACGAAGGAGGAAAAGCACATTTTTTTTTTTCTTTTTCTTTCTTCTTTTTTTTTTTTTTTTTTTTTTTTTTTAAGAAGATAGGGTCTCAATCTGTCATCCCGGCTGTAGTGCAGTGACACAAATCACTAAGCTCACTGCACCCCTTGAACTCCAAGGCGCCAGTGATCCTCCTACAGTCAGCCTCCCTGAGTAACTGGTCTACAGGTGTGCGCCACTATGGCCCACCTAATTTTTTTTTTTTTTTTTTAAAAAG